AGATAAATAAAATAAACTCCAAAACCACCAAGAAATAAAGTGATATAAAATGGGAGATAACTGTCTTGCAAGCTAGAATTAAATACACTGAATTTTTGGTCCTCATTGCCAACACAGCACTAACTACCTGAGCTGCACACACTGCAAGTAGAACAATATTGCAATTCTTTCTGCAGTGAAAGTAGTCAAAGAAGGGTAATGTGGAGAATATTTGCTGCCTACACAACGGAACCCACTTGCAGTAACATTCAATTTCTCAACTAGGTATTTCAAGGAAATAAAGAAGACGCTGCCATGAGTCTGTAAGGAAGTGTGACATCCAAGAGATGATTTCTATTGCAGTGTCTTGGATGAAAACAAGTAATATCCGAACATGAGCATGGGCATCCTCAGTATACTAACGCTAATGCACACAAAGCATGGGTTAATGCAGCTAGGAATTCCAGGTTGGTAAAGAAGAGCAGCTTTGTTTAGCATACTGCAGAACAGAGGTGTTGCCACGCACCCAGTAGAGCACAAAACTAACTATCAAAAAAGGCGATCAGTTCATCACAGTGCGTGCTTCATATACACTCAGCCACAGCTTTGACAGATCACTGGGCACTGCATTAGACAGTCTGGGGAATAAAAAGGAAAGAAAAGAAGAACTGATAGCAAGGAGCTTAGGAGCATTCGGGGTAGAAAGAGACCATGCTGCCAAATAGTCTGAGAAAGGCCTTTAATGACCCCGTGATCCAGAAGTGGAAGAAAATATCTGCTGCTTAAAACATATCTGTGATGTGATGCTAATAACCCCAACCCTATTTTTTCTACGCAAAGCCAGATGATGCCTTTTACTTTATAAAATATACACTGAAGAAACCAAGTCTGAAGCCTGCCTGCATAAAGCACGGGATCACTTCCAAAGCTCTCTGACACTCTAACTTTGTTATTACAACAATACAATACCTTTTCTTGCCTGGAATACCAAGGATATGTCCTAGGTTATGCTAATGGATCTACTCTGAAATAAGCTCTTGAAATATTCTTGGCTTATGTAGTGGATTCATCATCAAAAAGACCATTATCTTCCATTATGAATCCCAAACGTCCAAATAACTGATTCTTTAAGAACTATTTTCTGTTTCAAGTATTGCTTTGTCATCAGAGCAGAATCACTGAGCGCCATTCTCCTTATGTCAAAGAGAAGTTTGGCATGATGCAACTCAGTTCATAAATATGCAAAAGTAATCTGAATTAAGTTTTAGTGTTTTCTTTGATTTAAATTTCAGTTTTTAATTTTTCTGCATTATGTGCTCATAATTGAAGTGATTGACCTGTAATGTTTTGAATAATTACACACTTTACATTCGTATTTTAGCTGTCGGCTGTTTCCTTAGAAAACAGTTTTGAAAGATGTTCTCTGATAACAGATTTGACTGCAGGATGTAAATATTCTGCAATCCTGAAAACCAACTACAAAGTTTCTACTGCCATCAGTCCCAGCAGACTGATGGGACATGTCAGTCCCATGTGTAAAAGCAGCAATTCTTAACATGGCTTTGAAAAATAGTTTTTACTTTTAACTTGTTGCTAAGTGTTTCCCATCACTCTTTACAGAAAGGGAGAAGTGAGCAGCTATACTGGATAAACTGAAGCTACATACATAGGTGTGTCCAGCTTAGAATGCTGGTAGATAAACTATCAGCAAAGCTCCAAAGACAGGTACAAATAAGCCATCCTCTGGCAACGGCAGGAGACAAAGCCAAGCAGTGAACTGTACAGACTGCATTCACTGATTCTAGCCCGAAGGCTTCAAGACCTGTTTTTAGGTTGGAACCTAAAGATTAAAAGTTCATTGAGTGGCTGAAATTGTCAAGTGCAACTGAATATCTGAAAAGTGACTTTTGGGGAGTGCAGGCTAGATGTTTGGATGTCAAGGCATCAACACTTTTGTTTGTACAAGGCAGGTGTTCAGCAAACACGAAGGATGGCCTGACTACGTGGAGCGAGTTCCTTGTGTAACTGTGGTAAATCACACAGGTGTGGAGGTTCAAGTCCTGCCCTCTGCGGAGTGCTGCACTCCCAATGGTTGTGATAAGCAATTCACGTTGCTTATTCGGTTCATTCGAGTGCCAGGTGCAGCCCCAGAGGGTGGAACTGGGAGGGAAGGCACGTGTAGGTGAGAAGAACAAGTGCAGATCTAGAGAGGACCCCATATTGGAGCTTGTGGAGCCCAGTAATCACGTCAGAAGCCAGAGCCTCACTTTCCCAGGTACATGAGAAGGAACAAATCGGCAAAGTGATTAAAATGCCAGCAAATGGTACCACACTGCTTTGGTTCTTCAACTCAGATGTGAGCTGCACCTCAGTCCTTCAGTTGGCATACCATTACCTCGAGTCTAACTTGTTGCTCTGCTGTTCGCAAGGACAAATCCTGATTCAGTATTCCTAGAGGGAAGTAGATGTCCTTTAATCAAGAGTACAGCTGGCAAATACAAAGCACAGCAGCAGCACAAAGTACACAGTACTACTTTCTTATCAGAACCAGTCTTTACTTTTTGCAGAAACAACATTCAGATGGTAGTAAAGAGAATAATGTAAAAAGCTTACTACTGTATATAGAGAATTCATCTGCTTTTATTTTACACTGTTTTACTTCTAGAATGGAAAAAAATCCATCCTTGCAGAGGAAATCCATTCTAAGCTCAAAAAATCATTTTAATTCTAGAAAGCATAGTTCCTTTCCTTGAATCAGAAAAATATAATGAAATGCCACATTGCATTAAGTGTCCAAGTGCTTCCTCCCTAGTACGAGACACAAGGAATGACAGCAGTGCCTCACACTACAGTAGGAAGTGCTTGCTAATGTAAATGGGCAGGAAGGTGATCCTTCTATAGGCCCTGCTCGTGTGGAGCTGTCAGTGTGCACAGACCCTTCATGCCCTCAAGACTCTGCTCAGGCACAACAGATTATAGGTCTGGCTGTGGCGCTATTAATGATTACACATCTGGCCATACAGAAAGTCTCTTAAGGATTTACCAAGACCTACCCAACCTCAGTGGGGCTTACTTATTAACAAATAAACAAACAGAGAGCTGGAACCACCAGAACGCACTGCAGATGTTGCTTCTGGTCCTCCTGAGCAGTCACTCCTGCCTGCTTGTGGAAGGGTGGATGGGGAGAGAGGCATTTGCTCCAGGCTCCGACTCTCTGAAGTAAGAAATATATCTCACCATCTGTCAGTTCACTGATTTGCTTTCTCCAAATATCATTCAAACAATGTATGGTGCATTTTTCACATAGTTTAACATTACTGGAAATCTGTATTGCCTGAGCTGTGGCAACAGCTTGTGGAACGACTTGTGAGTCGTTCACCAGTCAAAATGCTGCAGAGCACTGGACAAACTTCCACCAAGGTTGGATGTCAACTCACTTAACAAAGTAACCATTATGAATACATGATTAGGCTCCCTTTCTGCTTCTACTGATCTATATTCCCAGCTACACAACCATAACTGCACAAAGCAACCATTTTCTACCTTCAACAATAAGTGCATGTGTGTGCCTCTCACAAGGATCACATCATTGCGTGGAAATCTATCAAAGCCTCTTTCTTTAGATAATTGAAGTAATGGATGTATACCAGGACAATACAGTAAACATACTACAAAACAAGAGATGCCGTTTGTTTGTTTGTTTGTCATAGCAACTGCTTAATAGAAACCTATGTTTGTAACTTCTACAGCATTGTATGAGCATTTGCTGATGAACACAACCTTTTCTTACTGCTGCAGAGCATTTTTTTAGTCAAAAAACGGTGACTCTTCAGAAAGGGATCAAAAGGGATACACTTTAATTTGCTTCATTTGCATGTTCCTGAATAATGTTATAGGTAGCAGATGTTACAGGTCAAAGAAAACAGCCATAATGGCAATGACAGCAATAGTAGGGATAGTTGATTATTGTGCTGCTTGAGAGTTTGCAAGGACTTTCTGTTTCATGAGAGCCTTCTCTGAATACAGAACAGCTACACAAATACAGGCCTGATTCTGGACAAGTGGTCCTACTGAGTTTGCATGTCTCAAAATAGGAAGAGGCTGATGGACAAAACATCGGGGCCCAATCAGACGTGACACCAGATGCCTCACGCTATTGTTAGTATTTGTACTACCATTGTATTGGGCTGTTTCTTGTGCTAGGGAACAAAGCAGAATGGCAGTATTTATACAGAAATCATCAAATGTAAAGGGCAACAGATGTCAAAGAGGGAACAAGAATACAAGGCCAGGAGACGTTACTGGTCAGTGTGACAAGCAGTGATCAAAGAGCGTTCAAGATTTTGAAAGGCATTACTGCAAAGCTGAGATTTAAGGATGGGTTTGAAGAAGACTGTGCTCATTATTTGCTGCTAAGCATCCCCAGCAGTATCACTACTTGCACAACGTCGATTGCTTATGGGAACAGAGTTTAGGACCAGGACGTATAATGAAACAGGTTCATTTTGGCAAACGACTGCTTGGTATGCTTGGTTACATTAGCACAGGAGCTCAGAAGGGTGGTGCATAGGCTGTGGCGCTGACTGAGAGGTGTGATTCAGTCTGGAAATGCACTGTGTACCCTACAAACCCAGGAGGCACTGGAGTTTCCATGCAGGAGAAAGTCAACAGGGCACATGCACCACAGTTTTCAACGTGACCCGTGCTGGAGCGAATTCACCTAGCGAGTCACACCTGCTCACATTAATAAAACAAAACAGTCCTCATATGTCTTATTGGCAGGAAAGCATGAAAACTGGCTAGGCTGGCTGGGAACCAACCTGGCGGCAACACCAGTTAGGACATTTTTTAAATGAGGTGAGTGGGTTTTGTATCTGTGTCTGAGGACGAGGACACAAACAGGTTCTGCGCTGTGGCAGATAGCACTCTGTGTTGAACTTTGCAAAGTGTTTTGGTGATTTCACAAAAGGAAGCCAAAAATCGTACCTTACTTTCTTTCAAAAGTATCAATTCCTGTAGAATCTAAAGAGTCTTGAAGTTTGCTGATGATGCAGTGAAGTCTCCTCTTCTTGAAGAAGAATAGCAGATCACTATGGAGATGTGAAAGGTGCAATTTGCTGTATTTTACACAGAATGTGATATCATGTAAGCCTCGGGGATCCATTTGCATTTGCTTTATTCTCAAAATATACACAATTTTGTAGAATCTCCTGAACCCTGTAAATTACCTTATGAGAAGAGAACCCCCCTGCTATTCACAACACAGAAAAAAGGGACATTAACCTCACATAAAACCCACTGGCGTGCATCTTGCTTCCTCATTAAGTCTGTGCCAGTTTTGGAATAGATTCCAAAAGTGCAAGCTCACTGTTTTGTGCTGCTTTTTTTTTCTTCAGTGATCAGTCCATAATACTTATTATAATACTTAAAAGAAAACTCCTTAAAAGCTATAGTTCCCTTTTCAAAGCTATCCTTAACAGCTACATAATTTGGCCATTTTCTCATCATATCTGAAGACCAAGACAATTTTTTTTCGGGCAATCTGGAGCCTTTACTACAAGAAAGAAAGCAAGTCTTACTCATCTGATTGTTTTCCCACAATGTATTTTTACGGGAGAGTTGTGGGGACCATAGTAGACATTCAATGAACAACCTCTGTGGTGTAAAGTGTCTCTTTTTTGGTATTCAAATCACCACGAAAGCAACATAGCCGTATCTCATGGCCATGGACATTACCACCTAAACCAACCAGAATGAAAAAAGGGTTATTTCTTACCTCATGCATTGTGAAAGACACAGATTTATGAGATAACATTTGGCAGTCCTGTGACCAATGATAATAAAAATCTCTTTCCCTTGGGCATCTAAGTACCACAGAATATTGTAACACTTCCAGTTCTTAAAGAGCACTGAACCGCATCGTGCTGGCCTGCATACCTTTATGAATATAAAAAAAAAAAAGAAAAAAAAGAAAGAAAAAGATCAGTTTTCAGTGTTGTTGTAAAAAGTATTTGTATATCACATGTAAGACACAGATGAGAAAGAACTGGATGGGAATCAGAAAGAACCAAGGACTGTCTTAGCCCCTTCATAGCTGTTCTTTTCTGCCTTGCTGCGACTCTACCTACTCAATCACTGCTTTAACAACATGCCCACTTCAGCTATTGCAATGGAACTTCCTGCTTTCATCCTTCCAGTACCCCATCGTCCTCTTAAAATGTACCCTTAAAAATAGTAGAAATGAAATATATCACAGACACAACAAATTCAGCACGTTTCCCTTTTTGCTGAGTACTTTACTTGAGAAATGCAATGTCTTGTGAGAAAGAAAAGCCAAGGAACCTTGAGACCACGCTCAGAAATCCCAAACACAAAAGGGGTGTAAGGTTTCAGATCACACATCATAAATACAGGTATCCAGCATCTCAGTGAGGGCGTAAAGCATCCAGGAGCTTAAACGGCTCCAAAGAGATGCCCCAGGTATGAAAGTACAACACAACAGCGAGGTCTGCAGTTGAATGGGAAGGGCAGAAGTAATTCTTTTTTGCTTATTTTGCCGTGCCCCTTTTCCAGCACCACCGCTGAGCTCCTCAGGGGTGGAGGCAGGACTTAGAGGCACCAATTTGGAGTGCCAGGGCTACACTAAGCCGAGCGCTGTGGTAGCAGTGTGATTTACAGGGTGTAGGAACACTCGTGGAAGGGCTTTATGTGGCATCTTCCAGCGGTACGTTTTAATAACTTTTCACTGCATCCCCCCGCCGTTGGCCAGAAGGGCAGACTTTGGACCTATTGACGGGTCTCGGCGGCGGAAGAGATGATTTAGCAGCTCTTTCACTTCAGTTTCGGCGACCAGAGCTCACGCTTGCCTCACAAAAATCCCCTTTTTTACACCGGGAAGGCGGAACCCTCGGTGGCGACCAGGAGCCCCGGTCTGAAGTGCAGCGCGGCCGCCTCTCGAGGCCACCCGCCCTTCTTCCCGCGGCGGGAAGCGGCCGTGCCCGCCCGTGCGAGGGGAGGGAGGCGGCAGCGCCGCGAGTTGCGAGCCGTCAACGGGACTGCGGGCTTTACTGCGAGGAGGGGAGAGCCCGCTTCCAGCCCTCTCCTCGGCCGGTGTCGGCAGGATTCCTCGCGACGGTGCGGCGGGGAGACGGACGTGCCCGAGGAGCAGCTCCGGGTACCGCTCTTCCGCCCGCCTCTCCTCAGCGCCCGGCGGGCTCTGCAATCCGCGCTTGGGGTGACGGCGTTCCAGAAAAAGGAGGGGAGCCGGAGCCGTCCCGCCCGACCCGTCGAAGCCGCCACCCATCTTTGTTGCGGGCAAATCCCGCGGCCCGCCGATGCGGCTTTGGCTTTCCGGCGCGTGCCCGCTTCCAAAATGGCCGCCGAGCGGACCTTTATTTCTCTGACACGGGACGCGGCGAAGAGGGGGCGGGCGGGGAGGAAATAGCAGCCGAGCCTCGCGCCGCGAGAGGCGGGGGCGAGGGAAGAGACGTGGGGAGCGGCAGCGAGTGCCCTGCGAAGTCCCGCGCCGAGCCGAGGGGCCGAGCCGGAAGCCGCCAGCGCTGCGCGTCGGGAGAGGCGGGCAGGGGCCGTGTGAGCGGGCGTGCGAGGCGGCGGCGAGGGACGAAGGAGGCGGCGCCGGGAGCGCGGAGCCGAGCCGTTAAGCGCGTCCGGCCGCCTGCGCGCGTAGGCGCCGTGTGGAAGAGCCGCGGCCCCTCGGCGGGATCGGCGCAGAGGGCGTTGGAGAGGCGGCGGGGCAGAGGCGCGCCGCGGCGGCGGTAGCGGCGGAGGAGTAGGAGGAGAAGGAAGAGGAGGAGGAGGAGGGGGCAGCTCGGTCCGCGCCGCCGCGGCGGAGGGAGGGCAGCGAGCCGCAGCCCAGCGCCTGCAGCGCACCGCCGGCGCCATGGGTGAGTCTCCAGCCCGGGGCCGAGGCGCGGGCCGTGACAGCGCGAGGCAGCGGAGCGGAGCGGTGCGGAGCGGAGCGGTGCGGAGCGGCCCCACCGCGGGGCCCCCGGCCCGGCGCCCCCCGCCCTCCGCCGCCGCCTCGGAACTGGCTTCGGCCCCGCGCCGCCGCCCGCGCTCCCCTCCTCCACGCGCTCACTTCCTGCCCGGCCGAAATTGTATAATGTATTAATGGGGCTGCGCGAAAGCGAAAATGCCGGAGAGCTGCTGCTCTCTCTTTTCTATCTCGCTTTTTTCTTTTTTCTTTTTGTTTTTTTTTTTTCTCTCTTTTTTTTTTTTTTCCCTCCTCTCTACCCACCCTCCCCGCGTCCCTCCTCCCCTTTTCTCCTTTTGCGCCCAAATTTGGGAGGGAGGAATTCGCTGCAGGAATTAAAGCAGCGCTGAAATATGCAGGAGAGGAGCGGGTGGGACCGATACCGCCTCGCCGCGAGGAGGAGGAAGGAGAAGAAGAGGAAGAGCCGCATGCGGACGGATGCGCGGGACGAGCCCGCTGCCCGCCGCTTCCCCTCGCGCTGCCCGGCTCCCGCTGCCTCTCGGCTCCGTGCGGCCGCCCTCCCGCTGGGGTTCGGGCTGAGCGAGGCCTCCGGAGCCCGCCGGGTCTCCCCCGTAACGCCGCCCCGCTCCGTGGCGGTGGGAGCGGGCGGCCTGGGGAAGGCGGCCCTGCTCGTTTCGACACGGTGCTCTCGGCTTCCGAAGGACCGGTTGGGTACAGATGTGATTCTGTGGCACGGCGGCGTTCAAGAATCTTCTGCCACCTCCTGCTGACGAAACGCTGGTAGCAGGAGGTTGTCAGGAGAGTCTGCTTGGACGGTCAAAGGGATCCCTCTTTGCTCAATGCTGGCTTGCACATGTTTCCACGTGCAGAAATACCATCGATATTAATATTGAGACCAAAAGAAAATCAGGTTGAGTGTGTGCAGCCTCAGCTTCCCGGAGAGTGAATGGGTCATAGCTTCAGATCTTACCTGTAAGGCAGACCATGCCTTCTCATGCAGGTTTGGTGTGGGTTCTTTCTTTTTTTTTTTTCTTTTTTTTTTTTTTGGTAGCAGCATCTTTTCAGTGTTATCGTAGATTCATAGAATGGCTTTCTTTGGAGGGATCATTTGTTTCCAACCCCTCTGCAGTGGGCAGAATTAGTACCCACTAGATCAGGCTGCCCGGGGCCCCATCCAAGCTGGCCTTCTACACCTCCAGAGATGAGACATCCACAGCTTCTCTGTGCCAGCGCCTCACCACCCTCCCAAGTGAAATGTTTTTCCTAACATCTAGCCTAAGTCTCTCCTCTTATAGTTTAAATCCATTCCCCCTTGTCCTGTCCCTATCAGGCAGTGTAAAAAGTCACTCTGCTTCCTGCTGATCAGTTCCCTTCAAGTACTTAATTTCTGACTTTCAGTCAAAATAACACCACCTTACCGGCTGAAAGGTTGCCAAACTTGAGAAAAAGCAGTTCTGTGTAGCATCAGACATCTTCCATTTGATGGTGGCTTAGTTTGCAGTGCTTGCCGTGTTCTGTGAGATTACCAGCAGCTCTGTCTGGTGAACACAGAAATATAATTTTCCTTCTGGTGTCAGATGGCAGATATTTTTCCTTGTAGCTGACGTGTGAATAGCAGGGACCAATAACTAGAACATCTCCTTAAGAGGGCAGTTTTCAAAGACATTGCTCTAAGGGTTGATAACTACATGGTCTGTGTAGAAATTGGAATTGAAATGCAGGAACATCCCCTGCTCCTCACTGATTGCTGCTGTGGAGAAAGGCTCACTCCGTTAGTCGTAGTGAAATTGAAGGAGATGTACTGAAGCAGTAGCAGTGTGTGTGTTGATAATAACTCGGAGCATTTCCTTCGGTTGACCCACAAGGACAAGAGACTTGTCACAGCTCAAATGGAGCTGTGGATGTATACTCAATATGACAAACAATTGTCTGTGTGTATGGGTAAGGGATCGTTGTTTGTCTTAAGCAGAGATAAAGGACCAGATTTAGAATTCTTGGTAGCAAAAGCACAATAGATTTTGCTTTGTTTTGTTTTTCATTGTCTAAACACAGACAGCAGTTCTCTTTCCTTTTTTCCTTAACTGGTAGGTATCTTCGTTGCTCTCTATCAGTGGGCCACGTTGCTTGTACTCCTTAAACTATTTAGTTTTCAGAAAGTTCCTCAGTGCTTTGTTGTTCTTGTTTTCAGTGCCACCTTAATGCGTGCATTAAGACAACAGATAGTTATAAAACAAAACAGCTAAAGATCCAAACCACATTTTAAGCACAGTCAGCGATGAAAAATGTACCTTGGAGAGGGCGTAGGAGAGAGGCTTCTTTTCAGAGCAGTGTTGTGAGGTTCATCTTCAGCATTAACATGTTGCCAGACTGTTCACTTAACCTGTCTAGACCAGGAGTGGGTATGTATGAGTGATGTTCTGTTTGCTCTGGGTTGGTTTTCTTGCTCCTGAAATGAAGCAGTTAATTGCAAATGTGTTCACTGTAATTAGAATGGCATTTGGTCACCATTTAAGTAGTTTAGTTAAGTCTCATTTAAGTTAGTAATTCAAATTCAGGGTAGTGTTAATCTCTAGGCGGACACAAGCTGTCCTTACAGAGGGATGCAAGCCTTGAGCTGATGTTTACAAGATGTATTGCAGAGGTGGGGATGGTGACACAGGAGGAATGGGGAGGTTTCTCAACAGCAAGAGCTGGAAACTCGGCTCACAGAAACCAATACCTTCCTGCTCACCTTGTCAGGGGCAGTTCTGCATGTATCAGTGGTGAGTCAAATTAGACTTCTTTCTTGCCCCTGAGTTTAACCGTGGCATCGTGATAGTTCCCTAACGTCATCAAGCAGCTCTTCTGGCTTTCTTAGTAGTGAAGAATCCTGTCAGCTGCTCTGCAAAACCAGAGATTCGCTGCCTTGACTGAATGTGGCTGTTAAGATGCTATATGCTGTAACATTTTGACATTCCTTGTGTTAACAATGGAATTGTAACCACCAGACCCATAAGCGTCATAAAAGACAGTATGTGTGCACTGTCCGCTGGCGGAGTCTGTGCTAGAGGTAGATAAAGCTTGTGCCTGGCTGGCCCTTGTTCTGATATGCATCCTGGATTTCCTTCCCACAGAAGCCACTCACTTGTTCTGCTTTTTGTGCATGAGCAGCATGCCTTCCTGACATCCCAGGCTGTGTGCCCACCCGACCTCACATGGCAGGGCATTGCATCACTGGCCTTCAGGAATTGTGCCTTAGTGGCTCTATCTTATTTACAAACTGCTTTCTGTACGGCCATTTTTAGGCCACATTTCCATAAATTAAAATGGTAAAAATGATTTAAAAATATATAAAAAAAAAAGCTGTTAAAAATGCAATTGCAAATTATTTTGGAAGCAAAGTTGCAGAACGATAACAGTGAGGCTGTTGCATAAGCTTATTAGCTTCTGAGTATAACTGAATGGTGATTTGGTTAGTTCTCAGTAGCATAGGAGACATAAAAAATCAGTTCTTACCCAGTGGTGGCAATCACTCCTCAAGATGTAGGATCTTAGTCGCTTTCTCTCTGTTTCAAACTGATATGCTGTGTGTTCTTGTTTCTTCATCTGAGTAGCAAAGAAGCTTGGACTTAAAGGCAGGGGGGAGGAAAGTTTAAAACATAAGGAGATTTCTCTTTCCTTTGACCCCTATAGCTTTAGGAGGATCAATGTTAAGATGGAGCATATTTTAGTGTCAACATTTTTGGAAGAGTTTTCTAAATAGAAAAGTTGTGTTATAATCATGAAAGATAAGAGATCTGAAGAAACAAAAAGGTAAATCTGGCTTCTCTCATTTGACCACAAAAAAAGACCAAGGAATGACACTGTGTAGAATCACGTCCTATTGGATGAGACTGACTGAGCTTTTGACTGTTTTGGGGGTGCTCTGGGGCAAAGTGTGATAGGAGCAATGACTAGAAAGAGAGAAGTGCAAGCTAGATACTTGTTCTCTTTACAGGCCTTGTTCTCTTTTACGTTGCTGGTGGTCTTTCCCTTTAGTTCCCTTTCTTAAATGCTTTCATCATGAGATTCCACACCTTACACTTGTGTAACTGGACTGCAACTGAAAAAAACTTTCCTGATTGTGTATTTGTCTCTTGTACTTCGTGTTACCTCTGCTGCTCGTGTAATTGGTATGACTGGATGAGCTTGCAGTTGCAAGTGGCAGTTAACCTTACCGTAGTGTGGGGTAGTTTTTGGTTAGATATCTGAGCTGATCTGGCTTTGTTCCCTAGCTGAATAATTACCAGGCTCACAGGAGGGAAGCCTAAGCTCACCCTGGTGGTACAGTTGCTAATCAAATCTCTTGGCAGTGGTTTGAAGGGAAGCAATTGGGCTGTTTTCCCTGCCCGTGCAGCAGTGCCTCGTAACCATTCATGGAGTCAGGCTTATAGGAATTGCCTGTTTGGTGTTTTTTGTTTCCTATCAGTTGAGCTCCCTGAAACTTTGGTATTGTAGGGGTGCAGAAGTGATGGCAGTATCATGGTGTATCACTAGCGTTAGGGCTGTCTTGAGCGATGTGCGAAGCAGAGGCCCTGACTGATGGTGAGTGCAGAGAATATTGCAGTGCAGTGGGCCTTGCAGTCCTGACCAGGTTCTACTGCTCTGATATCTGAACTAAAGTAAGGAACTGGCGTTAATAGTCGTGTTGTCAGAAGCAGTGGTTGGAGGTATTAGCAGCTGCTGCTGGAGAAATGTGATTTTTCTGGAAGCTTTCTGGCAGAAGATTTTTCTCATTGTACGATCTTGCCAATGTTCCCTGTAGTTTTTTGTTGGTTGTTTTTTTTTTTTTTTCCAAACAAGAATGCAAAACTTGGAGTTTATGACTCAGAATTTGACTTCTGGATTGCTGGCTTAAGTGTAATTGAGTGGTTTCAAGTTTGGGGCAGTGAGAATTTCTGAAGTATGGTGAGTCCAAGAAAACCATCTTTTTATTTC